ACACACACACACACACACACACACACACACGAGGGCCTGTCATAGCTGACCAACACACACACACACACACACACACACGAGAGCCTGTCACAGCTGACCCTTCCCTCACAGGACCTGTTGTAGCTGACCACCTCCCCAGCACATCCTGTCAGACCACCACCCCCCAGCAGGGCCTGTTGTAGTGGGCACACTCCCCACACCATGTGTCTAATGACCCATCCCCTCGAGGGAGAGGGTCCAGCCACACAGACCCCCCCCCCCCCAACCTGCTCACCTTGAGCTTCCTGAGCTGGCCCTCGATGTCTATCTCCAGTGTGGGGAACATGGACTGGTGCTGGTGGGCTAGGTTCTTGAATCTGTGGGTATGGTGGTCACTTTTCCCCTTGACCCATGTCAGAGCCCAGTCCTCCTAGGTCCCTCCCCTGGGGCAGTCCCAGCACCTAGCAGAGAACTCGTCAAAGTCCGAGAGGAGGTCACAGACGCGCAGGCCAGTCCGCGCAGCCTTAGAGGAGTATGTGGGCCCAATGCCTTTCCTGGTGGTGCCAATGCTGAAACCACAGGGGCAGGGGTGAAGGCCACAGTGCCCGGACCCCAGTCCCACCCCCAGGATACAGGCCCAGGTGGATGATCACTAGGCTCCCCCAACTCCCACAGTGAGCTGGTGTTGAGGGATTGCTCCTGGCCTCCATGTCATGTCTCCAGGCCTTGCTACCCCTGAGACCTGGAAAACACCACTCTGCTCAGTGTCTTCAGATCCTCCGTGTCCTGCTGGCAGAGCCAGGTCATCTCAATGACCACTGTCCCCACTGGGCCCTTCCCTAGCTCATGGAACTGAGTGTGAGCATGTGTGCGCACATGTGCATGTGTGGTGGTATGGGAGTGGATGGCAGGCAAACCCCCGCACTGCTTGCTGCCCTGCCCACCCCTGGTCAGCAGGGCTGCTTTATGGGCTACAAGGGTCCTGGGACACATCCTCCCAATAGGAGGGCGAGGCTTGGGGCTGTGGGCAGGATCCAGCCATCAAACCAAGTTCTGAGGGACAATGTCATGCCGTTTGGTGCTGTGGCCCATCACCTTTTGTAATGCCCTCCAGGCCATCCAGACCGGAGTGGCTGCCTGCCTGCACCCCACTCCGGACACACCCCATCTGGGGCCCACCCTCTCCTGCCTGTGTGTCCAGGGGAGGTGTGGGGAGTGGTCCTGCACAGCAGGTCCAGTCAGGTTCTAAGAGGATGAAGGATGGGGGTGTAGGGCCAGCACGCCATCCTTCCAGCTGTGCCTGGGTCTGTCCGTCTAGAATTTCCCCTGCAATGTGTGTGCATGCACATGGGGCGCGCACGCGCACGCACGCCGACTCATGTCTGTGTTATGTATGCACGTGTGTGCGTGGACACGCGTGCCTGCGCAGGTGTGTGGTGTGGCCAGCTCCTCTGCGGACTCGGACAGGCAGATCGGCAGGTGGGGAGTTGGATGGCAGCACCCACCCCCACCCCGCCCCACCGGGGTTGGAGGAATTACTTTTTCCCCTCCTGCGCCTGGCGCTGCACTTCCTGGAGCCCGTCGACCGCCTGGTGGAAATCGAACACTGCAGTCCGGGGACGCGAGGGGCGGGAGAGACAGAGGGTGCTGTTGAGGTGGTCACCTCCCATCCCCGGGGCTCCTCAGCACCCTTGAGTGTGCGTGCTGGAGATCCCGAGACAAGGGCCGGCCTGAGCCCAGCCTCTGGGGGATCCCAGGAGGGAGGGGAGGGGGCGGGATCGCAAGGGAGGGGCGGGGTCAGGGCTGGCAGAATCCAGCCTCTGTGGGAGGCGGGGAATGTTGGAGCCAAGCCCCTGTGGGGGCGGGGCCAGGGAGTTGGGGCGGGTCCTGTCCGAGCCCAGCCCCTCCGCGCAGGCCTACCCAAGTGGGCACGATCCGAGATGATAAGCCTCTTCTCCCAGTCCTTGAGGCCTGTGGGGACACCGCCAATCGACACTGTCCCACTCTCCCATGCCAGGGTGAATGCTGAGGTAAGCCTCTTCACCCCTGCATCAGGCCCTTCTCTCGTCGCCCTGGCCCCCTTAGTGGATGAGGGTCCTGGCACCGACCTCACCCATCTGGTGGGACTAGGGCAGCTTACCCACAACCCAGGCCCCTCAGTCTGGGTGGTCCCTTCCCACTGCCCACAGGCTGCTCTCCCGGAACCTGGAGGGGGTCCGAGGCCTGGCTGTCTCCTTTGATTGTGACTCTAAAGGTGGCCGCTTTCTCTAAAGGGTCCCAGACCTGTCCTCCCAGTGCCCACTGTCCCCAGGAGGAGGCGCTGTTCTCCCGCCCACGAGTCCAGCTGTCCTGGAGCGGGAGCTGCTCCTGTCCCCTTCTGCAGCCCCCTGGGTGGCCAGGCCTTGCCTATGCTATGCCCTGTCTTTCAGTGATGGTATTTAGTCCCCCCCAACCTCTTCTCCTTCTGCCCTCAGCCCCTCCCCGCCCAGACATATCTCCACAGTTAGACCCCTCCCAGTCGCACAGGTGCCCAGTGGTCCCGCCCCAGGCTGGTGTCAGGGTTCCTGGGGATTTCTGAATCGTCACCCTGGGGTCTCTGTGTCCTGTACTTGAGCTGTCCTGACAGCAAAGAGGGGCAGGTGACAGCGGGGCCCTGCTGATGGTGGCGTCCTGAGCCGTTGGGACAGCGATGGGGCCACTGCAGGTGCACCTGAGCACGGCCAGGGACCAAACTCACCTTTCTTCTCATTTTTTTCTGCTTCTTCAAATAAGCCAGGTAAGTGGATGACCACTCCATTGCCTGTAACACACAAGACAGACGGTCACCAAGCACGATTGAGAACGTCTTTGGGAGACAGTGTGGATCCGGTTGCACTGATCATTCCCAGGGCAGTGAAGCTGGTCTGTACCAGGCTGTGATGACAGAAGCACAGAACCTGACAGCAGGTGAGCAGAATGTCACAGTACTTCAGCACCAGCACCAGCTGCTGGACCCCCACCCTGCCTCGGGGTGGCCCTGGGGGTTGCCACACACCTCAAGCATTAGCAGGTCAGGGCCTGTGTCAACTGTGGCTTAGTAACAATGTAGCCGTCCTGGCCCCAGCTATACCACATATACAGTGATACAATGTTACTAATCAAAACAGTGGGGCTCACTGAGCCAGTCTAAACTGCTTGAAAAACTTGTTGCTGTTGGCTTTGTGAGGTGAGAGCTGACTCAGAGCTGACCCTCTAGTGGGTTTTCAGAGGCACAAGAGGAGGTTGTCCATCTCTCTCCCACAGAGCAGCCAGTGAATTTGAACCGCCTGCCTTTGGATTGACATCACAGCTCCTTACCGCACGGCCACCAGAGCTCCCTGCTATAAAAACTACCATCAGCTTAAAACAAGTAAACAGATGGAGGCAGAGACAGTGCAGACAGGCGTGGTCAGGAGAATGTTCCAGAACTGCATCGGGGCACACCAGGCCGACCGTGTGGTGAGTAAGGGGGCACCTCGGTCCCTGTTACCAACAATGTCCCTGAGTGGTGTGAACAGTTACACACCAGGCTGCCAAGTGAAAGAGCAGAGACTGCCGTTCACCCTGAAGTGCTGGGGAGCAGGCCTGGAGATCTGCTTCCCAAGGGTCAGTCAGTGAAAACCCACCATGGCCCCACGGGGTACCCAGGGCCAGAGGCAGCTGGACTGTTACAAGTCCGTGTAGGAACAGTTGCAAAGTCCTCACGGCTGGCTCCTGTGCTGGTGTTTGTATTTGAATAAGGAGTGCACTAACAGGCATGGACAGTGTGCGCCCACAGCACTGTACCCCAGGAAGGAGCCTGAAAAGCCACTTTTCCTCATCAAGGCTTCCTTCCTGGGGTAATGGATCTTAAGGTTGCCTGATCCAGGATGACCAGTACCGTCTATCTCCACTTGCTGATGCCTCGATGTGGATTTTTATCTTCATTTCTGGTTTTACAACTTTCATTTTTCCTAGATTCCTATGTTGCACATTGTGTATCACAATTACTGATAATGTTTGCAGCTGTTTCTCCTCATCTGGCGAGGGAAGGCCCTGCATGGGGTAGGAGCTTTCCTCCACCTGCGTCCTTACGGTGGAGTGTGTGTAAGGCAGCTCCTCTCATCCTGACTCTCCTTCCAGCGCTGTGTTTAATGGTGTTTCTCCATTAAGCCCGGGATTCTTGGAGGCCTGCCACTTCAGAAGTGCATGGCTAGCACTGCTCCCTAGTCTTAGTCTGGAAGCTTGGCTGAAACCTACACCAGTAGGCAACATCATGATGGATGGAGAAAAGGCTGAAGTTGTTAGTGTTTTCATTTTATCTGGATCCATAGCCGACAATCATGGCAGCAGAGTTAAGAAACCAAGACATGTTGCATTGAGGAAATCTGCTGTCAGGGACCTTTTAAAAATGAACAAGAGCAAGGATGTCAGCTTGAAGAGTAAGGTGTGCCTGACCCAAGCCTTGGAACTGCCAGTTACTTCCTACGCATCTGAAAATTGGGCAATTACTAAGAATGACAGAATTGATGCCTTTGAGCTGTGGTATGGGAGAAGAGCACTGCACATCCCACGGATGGCCAAGAGAACAAACAGGTCTTAAGGAAGTGCACACGGTGCTCCTTGAGGCAAGGTGGTGAAATGTCACCTCACATACTTGGGACATGTTGTCAGGAGGGGCCAGTGAAAGAGAGGAAGACCCTCAACAAAATGGACTGACATGGTGACTTCACTGATTGGCTTGAGTGTGGTGGGGGCTGGGAGCAGGGCAAAGTTCAGTTCTGTTACTCTCAGGGCCACCACAGGTTTTAGCTGACTTAACGGCACCTAACGATGATGACAACAGAGAAGTGGCTGGTCAGTGGACAGGAGGCCTGGGGACACTCCTTTCCCACAACCCCCTGCCTGCCTGGGACCCCGGCTCTCCCCCATCCACACAGACATCATCCAGCACCAAGAATAGAGGGACATATACCCAGAGCCCCCAGTGCTGGTGGGCAACCCCAGGGGCCAGGATCACTGTGGACATCTCAAAGGGGTGTTTCTCCCCACTCATACCCTTCCCAGCCGAGGACTCGGGGCCTCACTGCAGCCAGGCTAACTTGGACACCAAGAATACAAAAGGTCACTAAATGCCAGCCGTCCTGGAATAGCCGGCGTGGCCCAGGCAGTTTTACAAACATGGGCAGCTGCGTGGGCTGGGGCACGTCCGCCTGCTGCCAGGGGAGCCACTGGCGGCACTGTCAGTATGCTGACCCTGGGGCTACTCCTCTGCTCATGTTCCAATGTGACCGCTGGCCCATGTCCCAACTCCTGGGAGACTGCCAGTGTCCAGCCTGGCTGGAAGGCTGGAGCAGGTGGCCAGTGCCATGGCCATGTGCTCACAGGGCAGTCCGAGGACAAGCGGCACAGGGCAAAAGTGCAGCTGGTCTCACTGCCTGGTGGGTGGGACATGGTCAGTGTGCTCGGCCAGCTTTCGTGTGTGCCCACCATAGCTGACCCCTCCCAGCTGTGCTCCTGGTGAAGGAGCTCGGACTGCCCACACTGTGCACAACAGAGCAGCCTCACACCGCGCACACCAGGCCAGCCGGCCAGCCCCCTTACATCATGCACACCAGGGCAGATGGCTGGCCAGCACCTGCAACCTCTACTTCCCATAGGGGGCGCTTTGCTGCCCAAGCGAGGCTTGTCCTGTCCCTGGAGTCAGAGAGGCCAGAGACTGGTCTGCAAGGTGGAAAAGCGGCTCTGAGCAAGTGTCTGGGCTGAACGGGCCCGAGGCCAAGGTGCTGGTGAGGGAAGGGGTGGTGGCTGAGTGGACCCAGACAGCAGGGATGGGATGGGGTTCCCAGGGCACAGCCTTCCTCCACACCAGCCCCACCCCCACACAGCAGGAGGCAGCCCTTGGTGGTGCTGGATGTGGGTGCGTCACACGCGGACACCCCCACATGCTTGTCTACCTCATAAACGCAAAACTGCACCTTGACTCACTCATGTACAAGCACATGCAACGAGCTCCAGCACGTGCATCCCGTCCACACTCCATGTGCACACACGTGAGCGCACACATCAGAGGCTGACACATCTGCTCACTCACCTGTGTGCCTGCCTGCAAGCATGCCCACCTGCACATGTACACTGCATGCCTAGTCACACATGCACGCACTCACACACGCACACCTGCTCACACTTACGGGTGTACACACACTAGCCCACACGATCAGCCCTACAACATGCACACATGCACGTACACACACACAGAGTAGGTCCCTGCATGCCCTCCCTCTCTGGCCTGGAGCCCTGAACTCCACCTCCTCTACCCTCACTGTCTCCTCTGAGGCCAGGGGCCCAGCACCCTGCTGCTCCCACCCTGGAAACAGGCCCTGATGCTCCCCTAGCGATGTCCACGCCTCTGGTCAGTCCCCCGGTCGAAGGTGGAGGCTAGTCCCTCAGCAGTGCCTGGTGGGGAACACACGGCTGGCCTGTGCTGCCTCCATCACCTGCCTGCAGGTCGCAGGGGCCCCTCCCGACACTCAGGCTCTGGAGCCCGCCCACCTGGGGCTCACTCACCAATGAAGGACAGGGCCTTGGTATTGATGATGCCGCTGGGAAGCAGGTGGAAGTCATACTCCTTGCCATCCACCACCACCGTGTGGCCTGCATTGTTCCCACCCTGGAGAGAGAGGCCACTGAGACTCCGGATGCCCGGTGCCCCTGATGCTGTCCACTCCAGGGTCCCCCAAACCTGGCCTCGGGCATATGGCTCAGTTCTCAGCCTCCTGCGTGTCTGGGTCCCCTCGGTCAGGTGACACCAGGGAAGAGGGTGAGCCCAGGTTGTCCCCATTCAGGAGCCATCTCATGAGGAGGTGGCAGTGGGGTTGGCTCAGCACACAGCAGCCTGCAGTGGGGACCCTCCCAGACCTCCCTTCTCTGATGTGGGAATGGCCATCCCGGCCCTGGGACAGTCTTCCCCTGCAGGGCTCCACGCACAGCCCGGGGCCCTGTGTGGTCTCTGGGGTCCAGCGAGGGTGCAGAGCCCTGCCCATCTCCACTGGACCACACAGCCCATCTCAGCAAAGGAAAGGGGTCCTCAACAGAAGTCTGTGACTGAGAACTCGGGCTGCTGGGCCCCTTGAGCACACTGACCAGTATACGGGGACCCCTCAACCTGGACTCTTCTTCCTCAGGAAACACAGGCACCACAGTGCCAGTCCCTGTCCCAGACGTCAGATGGTGACACTGGCCTGCCTGCCCTGCCCCCACCTGCCACCCAGCCAGATCCACCCAGCCTCCCACCCCTCTTATCCAGGCACCACTGGTAGGGTGGGGGATGACAGGAGAGTAGATAGCTGAACACTGGGGTTCAGGAATAAGTAGGGTCCCTGAGAGTGTGCAGGGAGGGAGGCCGTGTCACAGACACTGCCTGCCCAGTGCACAGATGCAGAAAGGTGAGCTGGCAGTGTGCCCCATGGTGGCCTCTGCCTGGATGCTGACCAGGCCACAGTGGGGGGACAACGCCTGGCGACCAGACCACAGTTGGGGGACAATGTCTGGGGACCAGACCACAGTGAGGGCGACAATGTCCTGATGCTGACCAGGCCCCAGTGTGTGGGGGGCAATGTCCTGAGGCTGACCAGGCCCCAGTGGGGGGACAATGCCCAGGGACCAGGGCATGTGGGGACTGGTGGAGGAACAATACCTGGCGATTTCAGGGTGGTCAGGTATGGTGGCCCCCATTCCACTTCTTGCCCTAGACAACAGTGGATCCCCAGACGGTGCAGTGGACCTCAGGGCTCAGAAGCCATGGCCATCCTGTCCTCTAGAGCCTAGGCTTCCTGTCTGAGGCTGGGAGGGACACATCCCAGCTAGAGACTGGTCCTGACCCTTTCAGTTATGTGCCTCTGGACCCTCAGCTAACAGTGCCTTGAGCCCAACCTGGTCACCTCTGCCCTATCTCCTAAGCCCAGACATGGGTGGTTTGTTCCGAAGGCCCTGGCTTCCGTTGGAGGCCTCCTCCCTTCCAGGAATCGGGCTGTGCAGCAAGGGGGAGCTGACTGTGCTGGACCAGCCCTTAGACTCTCTGGGGCCTGCCTGGACCTCACCCTTAAGTCTCCCATGCTCCTCTGACCTGGCAGGTCCTAGTGACCCTGTGACACCCCCACAGCAGGGGCACCCAATCCTCATGCTGCATCCAGACTTGATTCATAGTCTTGAGCCACCAGAAAAGACAGGGGGAGTGGGGAGGGGCAGGTGCTGGGGAACCTGAGTGTGGGAGGGGTAGTGTTGGGGGACTCTGCGTTATGGGATTCTTGGGGTAAAGAGGGCGTTGGCAAGGAACCCTAGAGAGGAGGTAGGGAGCCTGGGGCAGGAAGCCTGGGTGGAGGGCTCAGGGTGGGAGAACCTGGGGTGGGGGTCATGGCGGTGCATAGAGTCAGTCCGGGGGACTTGCAGTGGGGGTTGGGAAGCCTGGGGTGCTGGTGGCGTTAGGGAAGCTGATCCAAGCTGAAGGACAGACTTCCTTTTCTTGGTCTGACCACCCCACCTAGCTGGCCCACACGCATCCACTCGGGTATGTGTGCCTACCCCTCAGCTGACCAAGGCCCAGCAGAGACCATAGACTGAGGGTCTTTCCCAGTGACCTGAGGGCTGGCTTCCCCTAGGCTGGGAGGAGAACTGTGGAAATGGAGAAGGGACCCCCAAAAGGGATGACCCCCAAAAGGGATGACCCCCAAAAGGGATGGCCCCCAAAAGGGATGAGGGGCTGGCTGATTGTGGGGACCAGGTGGGAGGGTGGGGGTATGAGTGACTGGCTGGCACTTGGTGTCCTGCGGGGATGAATGGTCCCCGCAGGCTGGGCGGCTGCCCATGCTTGCTTTGTCACAGGCCAAGGACAGGGCTCCGGGCTGAGGATGGGGCCCAGGAGTCTAACCACCCCCAGCTCTGCCATGGACCCTCTGGCCTTGCTGAGTGTCTACAAGGCACTTACTGGGAAATGACAGTGAACGGACTTCCAGGGCCCCCTTTTCCCGAGTGTCTCACCTTCTGGGGGGAGGGGCAGGGACCTCTGGGGACAGGGTCTCCAATTTCAGATGGGGAGACAATGCCCCCAGGGTGGGGCCAAAATGGGCAGTCTGTCTCCACTGTCCCCTTGAGGTGGCCCTGTCTCAGATCATGACCCCACAGAGCTTCTGTGTGACAGTTCTTCCCATGGCCTGCAGCATCCAGTGGCTAGCCAGGGCTCAAAGGGGGGACAGCCCAGGAGGAGCCCAGAGAACCCAGCCAGATTGCTGATGACGGCCAGACAGACAGCTGAGCGCCCAGACGGAGCCCAGACCCCAGCTCCCAGACATGTCAGGATGAAGTCAGGCAGCCGAGCTGGCCCCACAGGCCACCACCCTCTTGCCCCATGCGTCAGGAGGCAGGTCGCACATCCGAGGCCACCCAGGCAGAGTACCTCGAGCACCTCGCCTTTGTTTGGGTAAACACGGACTCCTAGGAGCAGGATGGCTGGAGTGGCAACCGGATCAGGTGACCACAGGCCAGCACTGGTGGCCCAAGAGTCAGGCTGGGGCCAGTGCCAAGTGGGCATAGTCCCAACCCTGGATGCTGAGCCAGGGCTTGGCTCCAGGCTGCCTATGGACACCCCAAGTGCTGTCCTGCGGAGAGTGGGTCTTGGGCCAGCAAAGAGGCTAGACAGAAAAGGCCCTCTCTTCAGCTCCCCCTGGTGTGGCCCTTCCTGCTGGCCTAAGCCCACAGAGGGACTGAACTTGCAGGGAGTGAGTGTGGAGGCAGCATGTGGACCCCCCCCCAAGGGGTCAGTCTGCTCAAGGCGTGGTTTGCTTTGGAGACAGAGGTGGGTGGGGACACACACCAGGAGGCAGAAGCCCTGGGGGTTGGCCAGGCTCCCACTCCCACCCTGTGGCCAGAACAGCACACAGCTGCCCTTGGCCACTTCCCCTACATCTCAAGGCCCCTGCAACCTTCCCCCAAAGACCTCAGCCTACAGAGATCCCTCCTACACAGAGACCATGTGCATGACACCTCCTCTCTGCAGCTTCCCTGGACTGTCCACTGGCTCTGTCCCTGCCATCTGCTGGTCCTCAACATGCCAGGCCCAAGCAACCTTTAGGACAGATTGAGCTCCCAGCCCAGAGATCACAGCCCACCCTCCCTCCCAGAGCAGGCGAGGGCTCACCCTCCTGGTGCTGTCCATTACCTGGCCCCACAGAGACCCTCCCTGGCCCTCACAGGGACTCCTCCCCCCACAGAGACCTCTCCCTCCCACTCAGGGACCCTCCCCACATAGAGACCTCTGCCCACACAGAGACCATTCTTGCCCCCTACAGAGACTCCTGCCCACAAAGAGACCCCTCCCCTTCAGAGACTCCTGTTCCACACAGAGACTTCTTCCTATACAGGAAGCCCCTCCCCACACAGGAATCTCAGCTCATAGAGACCCCTCTCTCCCCATACAGAGACCCTTCCCACACAGAGACCCCTCCCAAGGACCCCTCGTCACACAGAGACCACTACAGAGGCCTGTGCACACCCCTGGCTGCCTGAAGCCCACTGCCTAACTCTTCTCACCACCTCTGCTCTGATCCCCAGGTCCTAAGGATGCTGCTGTCCATCTGGGCAGCTGACCTGTTCTCCAGCTGCTGAGGGAGCTGGTCCTCCAGCCCGGCCTCCCCCTGTGCCTGGGCAGGTGCACAGCAGACACCGGGGAAGCAGGTTCCTAGCAGCCACTCCGGGGTCAGGGCATGTATCCCTGCAGCAACCAGGGTACAACTGTGTGTGCACAGTGTGTACATATGTCCACACAAACACACATGTGCACACGTGATCCTCCACATGCAGGAGTGTGCACATGTGCATGTATGATCATCTACATGCAGATGAGTATTCACACATGATCACCTACACACAGGCATGTGTACACGTGATGATTTACATGCATGTGATAATTCACATACAGGTATATGTATTCACACGTGATCATCTACATGCAGGCATGTACACGTGCACACACGAACATCTACATTCAGGTGTGTATGTACACGTGCATGCATGGACATACATGCAGGTTTGTATATATGTTCACATGTGATCTATATGCAGGCGTGTATGTACACATGTGTGCAGCTAGCTACATGTTAGGCGTATATGCCCCCTTCTCATCACTCAACTCCCAGCCCTTCACCCTCGACCTTTCCTGACCCTTCTAACTCTGCTTCTCAGACTGCATTCCAGGGATGTGCCCACTGCTTCAGCTGCTCAGTGCTTGTCTGCCTCCTAGGGGCCTTTGTGGCTCTGCTCCAGGCACACCAGTGTCGTCAGGTAGTTCTCAGCCAGCCTGGAATGCTCAGTGCCCTTGGGGAGGCCCTAGGACACAGCCTCTGACCCCTCAACCCCACCAATCTCAGCTCTGGACACTGCCTTGCAGCCATCCCTGCCCAAAGGAGGGGGCACTGGAGCCCACAGAGAAACCCACAGGGGAGGCCTGACCACTCCACCAAAGTGTCCCATCACCTGGCATGGCTGGCCCCCATGGCCGTGGCCACCCGCGTCCCATCACCTGGCATGGCCAGTGGTGCCTCAGTCCCCTCTGTCATCCCTGTGACCTGAGTGAAGCTAGCTCAGACATGTGGGGGGTGGTCCTCAGGGATGTCCTAGTGGAACAAATGTGGACATGCTGTCTGCTCATCTGGGGCTGGAGGCTCATGTCTGCACCGCGGTGCCTCAGAGGAGAGGCCTGGTGACCTGTTCCTAGGTCCAGCCACATAGGGACCATACGGAGCACAGTCTACTTCTGTGGGGCCACCAGGAGCACTGGTGCAGCAGGATGCTGAGCAGTGGGCTGGTGGAGGGGGCTCTTCCACACCATCTGAAGGGCAGGGGTAGGGGCAGGACGGCTGGACACAGCAGGCAGAGACGCAGGGAAGACTCAAGTGGGGTGGGAGAGTGCGTGGCCCAATATCCACGTAAGGAGGGGGCCACACAAAGGTAGGGTCCTGGCAGAGGGGAGAGGTGTGAGAAGAGATGGACATCTGGTGCAGAGTCCACAGTGGAAAGGAGGATAGTGATGCCCACCAGGCTACAGCCTGGAGCCAGGGTGGAGGCAGACAACCAGCCAGCGCTGGCAGGGAGGAGTGGCACTCGGGACAAGGGACCACCCCCATGGACCCATTCGCTCATACCCAAGCCCTCTGTCTTGTCCTGGTGTAAACATCTAGGAGAGACACCTGTCCAGTCACTGAGCAGCGCCGAGTGTCTGCTCGGGGGAGAGGCACAAGAACGAGGGTGCCAGGTGCTGGGGGCATCTGGGTGGGCGTGTGGGGTCTGCAAGCTCGTGGAGGCCGGCGATGGGCTGCTGGGAGGCAGGCGCCCAAAGGGCCTCACGCACTGCCTGGCCTCTGGCCTGGGCTCCTGGGACGTTTCTAGAGGGGACTCGGAGCCAGGGCTTCTGCGGAGGGGCGGGGCTGTCTGCCCTGCAAGGGGGGTAGGCAGTGCTGGAGGGCAGCTAGCAGCTACCGTGGGCTGCAGGCTTGTTCAGGAACCATCTCTGCAGACTGGTGGTGACCATCAAGTGGTACCTAGAGGAAGGCCCGGTGCAGGGCCCAGCAGTGTCCTGAAGTGGGGCTGGGACTGAAGCAGGGCAGGGGGCCAGCTCGCAGGTCTGGAGGCCAGGAGGCTGGGGGGGGAGCCACACCGCCCTGGGGACAGACTCCCGCTGGTGGCTCAGAGCATCTGGCCCCACCTACGCGGAGTCACAGCCAGGAAGTGCTCCTCCCCCACCTCCGCGGGCTCCCTGCCTGCACCCCACACAGCCCGAGGCCCACCCGCTGTCTCGCCTCTGGTCCCCTCAAAGAGCCCGAGTTCTTGACCCTGTAGAGGGTCCTTGCGGAGCGACCTGCTGGCCCAGGGTTACGTCCCACCCGCCTAAGGATCGGGTGTCCCCACCTCAGCGACTTGTATTTATAGCTCAGCCCGGGGCCCAAAGCCTCGGGGGTGGGGCTGGGGACAGAAGGCGGCCCCTCGGAACAGGGTGGGGGAGGGGTGGGGGCTGGGGGAGGAGTGGACCTGTGTGTACGGCCCTGTGTAGTGTAGGTGGGCGTGTCTGTAGTCGGTGTGTGTATAGGACGTGTGTGTGTGCGCGCATCGGTGTGTGCAGGCTGCGTGGACGTGTCCGTGCGCAGGGGCGCGCGTGGAGCGGGGGTGGGCGCGAGCAGGTGGCGGCTGCGGACGTGTGTGTACGTGTGAGGTGTGTGCGGACGGGTCTGGGTAGGCGGGGCCAGCTCCCAGAAGCGCCCTAAAAGGAGAGGGGAGTGTCCTCAGGCCCGAGGAGGAGGGGGTGGGGAGCCCGGGCCCGGCCCACCTGGCAGCGGCTGACGATGTCGGCGTCCGTGGCCAGCAGGTCCACCACCTTGCCTTTGCCCTCGTCCCCCCACTGCGCGCCCAGCACCACGGTCACGCGGGAACCGGTGGCCGCCACCTCCTGCTGCAGCCGTCCTCGCTTGACGCCGCCCGAGCCCGGGGGCCGGTCGTTGGAGGCGCGGGTGCCCGACATGCTCGCTCGCTCTGCGCCGGGCCGCCCAGGGAGCCCGCCGCGCGCGCCGCCCGCTCCGCTAAATGTAGCCGCGGGCCTGGGCGGGGCCTGGGCGGGGCCTGGGTCCAAGAAGGGGCGGGGCCTGGGTGAAGGCCGGGGAGGGGAGGGGGCATGGGGGTTCTGTGCCGGGTCGGGGGTTTAGGCGGGGCGGGGGCGCGGCCAAGGGCGGGGACCGGGATGGGGTTCACTCCGGAGAGGGAACGGGGGAGGCCACCGGGTCCGGGGGGCGGGGTTTCAGGCCGGGGCGGGGCCAGGA